TACAAAATAAATGAATGACAATCTATTATAACTGTTCTGAGTATAGCTTTGTGTTCCTAGTTCAATATCCCATGAATTGATTTTGCAGTCAGCTTTACTGTGTTTAGAGTTACATTTATTTTCAAGTTATGGTCTTATTGAAAAGAAAAAGAAGTAATGAAATACTGTTAATAATACAAATACAATCTATGGATATATAGACATATAAGGGCCCTTTTTCAATAGACATTTTTCTATTGTTGATTATGTATATACCCTCAATAATCCTTGTTTTATTTATTCCTACCTAAAGTTAGAAAGTAAAAAATGTGAAGTTAATTCTAAAAGAGTAAACTAACTTACCTACACAGAAAAACATAGGGAATTATCAATGTGACTGGTTTAGAAAGGAAAGTTACTCTATGGAGACGCCTACCTGAAACAAGCATTTCCAGAAAAGTTCATCAAAGAAGAAATGCCTGGTGCTCTCCATATCTAGTTTTTCTCTCCTCCCCCCACCCCCAGGAGGACCTCCAACCCCATAAGGTCTGGAGAGGCCACGTGACTAGTTCTGGCCTATCAGCTCTGGGTGGGCGTAAGGTGTGGACACTCCCAGTTTGGAGAAGGGCATGCACACTCCACACTCTCTCCTCTTGTCATGGCAAACCTTGAAGTCACCTTTGCCATGGTGGTGCCACAGGGCATCGGGGCTTCGGTCAGTTGCACCCCTGAGCGACTGCGTGGAGTAGAGGTGCCTTCCTCTCTTATGTCAACCAGCACCGAACGTACTGTGTGGATGAGAAATGCAAGTGGACCGTGTGAAGCCACCGTGATTTCAGGGCCCATGCGCTACCACGGCACAGTTCGCCTAGACTGATGAGAGCTTCTTGTGCCTCGTGAGCCATTAGCAAAGTCTTTTCTAAATTTTTAAACTTATGTTTAATTTTTTCCCTGTGTAAACTGACATATACACAAAGTAGTTAGTCCCTATTCTGAAGACTTTGGTTGGAAGGTGATTTTATCAGGAAAGGCATTGTCATTTCTATAGAGTGTGCTAAACTAAGGGAAAATGAAATGCCTGTCAACAAGAAGCCGTTTGTTCGCTGCCGGAGTAGACTTCTCTCTCCTACCCGTTCCACCCACTTTCTCAAGACAATAAATGTGAAAACCTTTCTGGAAAAGCACCACATTGATTTGTGAGAATAGCTTCAAAAGATTTTGTGATTTTCAGCGAATACTCTTCATTTTGCAGCTGGACTCTGTCCCTTAGAAAACTATGTTTATATTTTTGAGCAAAATTTAAGAAAGTACAAAAATTTTAACCAGAAAAAAATAATAGCTCAACTATGAACATGGCTTCTCAATAATCAGAAAAGCTTGCAAATTCTGTTTCAAAGAATAAACTCTGTATAGTCATTTCTTCAGCCAGCCAGTTCTCCATTTGTCACCCAGTTGTCCCCATTCTTGTTCGCCCTGGCGTATTTTGTGTATAAAATTACAAGCCTTCAAGAAGAAAACATATGTGGTCATCTATTCCTATACCGCCAGCACACAGGATTTTCACATAGAGCTTATTTTAAAGTAGGCCAAGAAATCCTTGGAGTTCAAGTTATTTTTCCGCTAGACGTATGAGACTTGGCATCACAGGTTTCTGTTCTGGAAAAAGTCCACTGCCACTCTGGATCACCTGGTCACATAAAGGGACATTAGGTAGGTCTTGGAACATACCTCTCCCAGGCAGAGCAAGAAAAAAAGCATAGGACAAATAGAACCTTGTTTTCAAGATATGTTCACATGAAACTTCAAAATATTCGCTGCCCAATAGCAAAACGTCAACATAATGAGACAAGCAGTCTATACTTGAGAAGTCTGTGAAGACTGTTGGTGAGAATGTAAACAAGCACAGCCACTAGGGAAGACAGCGTGGTGGTTCTACCAAAGATTGAAAACAGAACTACTGTATGGTTCATCCATCCCACTTCTGGGTGTATATGCGAAAGTATTAAAAGCAGGGTCTCAGATATTTATACATTCATATTTATACCAGCGTTACTCACAACAGAAAAATGTGGAAGCCACCCAAGTGTCCTCAGTGGGTAAACAAATAATAAAATGTGATATATACACACAATAGAATATTACTCAGCTTTAAAAGGGAAGGAAATTCTGCAATATGCTACAACATGCATCACCCTTGAGGATAGCAGGCTGAGTCAAATCCAGCAGGCACAAAAAGACAAATGCTACATGACTCCACTTCTATGAAATACTTCGAAATCATAAAGACAGAGAGTATAATGGTGTTTTCAGGGGCTGCGGGAAGGGGCTAGAGGACACTTACGGTTTAATGGGTCTACCAGTTCAGTTCTCCGAGATGAAAAGTGTTACGGGGATGGATGGGAGCGATGGTGTGCGACAGCACAGCTATGTTTGATGCCACTGAACCACGCACTTCAAAAGGTTCAGATTGTAAATTTTATGGCATGTGTATTTTACCACAGCTTTTTAAGTGAAAATAAAAAACAGAAGGGTCTGAAGAACTCAGAATAATCAAGGCCGTGAATTTAGACACACATGAATGGGAACTAAAGATACACGGTGTGCCCCCGCTACATTTACTTGGACTAAGAACTCTGCTTATAATGGACCAGAGTGACTCTATAAGCAACGGTCCTTTCCTCTTGCTCAGTGACAATGGTGAAGATGAAAAATATTTACATGCTTTCGCATCAAGTTGGAGGACATTTTATCCTAGTAGCTGGTTCAAGACTTTCTCTTAGGGAAACATCTAGATTGGTTCAAAAAAAAAAAAGCCACATTAAGCCCCTTGTTGTAAAATCTGGAATCCCGAGTGCGGGAGGCAGTGAGGGGAGGATGGCAGGAAGAGCTTTGAAACAGGAGGAAAGCAGGGTGATGGAAACGACCCCGCAATGTCAGTATGAGTAGGAAGCAGTGAAGAACCAAGCTTTGCCTTCATGCTGACTTCAGGTGGAACCAAGGCAACAAACACATAAGGATACCCAAAGAATAAGTCGTTGGGAATGCGTGCAAATCATTGCCAGATGTGCTTCATTGTTAAAGGCCATGCATGTTGCAGGTTAGTGCCAAATGCATAAAACTTCCAAGATGCACAGATGCCTCAGCTAACGACAGTAGTGTTTATTCATCACCGTCATAACTAACATTTATTGAGTGCTTACCAGAATCACAAATACTGTCCTAGGAGTTATATTCATAGTAACCCGTTAGGTCCTCACAGCAGCTTTTTGAGGTACTACTATTATCTCCTTCTAACAAGTGAGCAAAGAGAGGCACGTAAGAGTTAAGTAATGTGACCAAAGTCACACAGCCAGTAAGTGGGAGAGAGAAGATTCAAACCCAGGCCACCTGAGGTCAGACCCTGCCCTCTCCACCGTTATGCTCTGTTCTGATTCTGTTCAAGGATAACGCTAAATGAGACTCTAATCATCTGATTCGGTCATTGGTGACATAGTTGGTTGTCACGCTCCGTAAGAAGCATTAAGTTTTATATTACAAGAGGCCATAGAGTTTACCTAACCCAGTCTTTCAACCAACGCAGGGATTCCTGATGACACACCTTTTTCTGATGACAAGCCAGTCTTTCTCTAGATACCCTCCTTGATGGGGAGGCCCTTGCCCTGAGGATCAGACAATGTTTCACTAGAAATAATACTTGACAACCTTTGAAGATGGTAAAATCCACAGGGGAACCAGTTTTGTTAACCATCAATGGAAGCTGTGGGTATGAAAAGTATCGCTTGAAAATCCTCAATGGAACATCAACCGTCAATGGCAAATACAGAATTCTTTACCAGATTAGGCAACATGGGAATCCTGTTGACTGAGTTATACAATCTGTCTCATCAATAAATGCTTACCTTAGTACGTACATATGGAAACAATAGGAATGTGTGTGTGTGTGTTTTTTATATGTATATAAGACATCTGAACAGCTAAGATATGCATCAAAGCTAACTTTTTGACAGTGAGTGAGACAACCAGGGCAGGTTTTAACAACTACCCGAAGGGCAAGCAATGGTCACCAACAAGAATGATGGTAACAGTTGGGTCATCAGTAACAATGTTTCAAAGACAATTGCAAGAAAACTCAAAGTGAGAGGAAGTATATACTGGGAGCAAATAGTGATTATTGTTGCTGCTGTTTAGCTCATAGAGAAAAATAGCCCAGATTATATACTAATATTTTTGGAAATTTTACCGGAATGTCAGTCATATGCACAGAGTCACACAGGGACGTGTCCTTCACACCTGGCCGTGGGGGGATGCTTCCCTTGCATTCCCCAGCAAGCACAGGATGGTATTGCATCTTAAAAAGGAATTACACCAAAGAAGAAATGTATTTCCCAGTCAGAAGCTAAAGCATATAATTCTTTTCAAATCATTTTACAAATAGAAAATCAAAAAAACCATGAAAAAAATTACACATATTCAAAGAACTCCACCCTTGCCCACATTATTAGTTTTGACCTTTAAAAGCAGGAATATCTTAAGTGAGGAACATTTATATGATAATAGCAAATGTAAATATTTTATTTTAGTTATTAGTAAATTTAGATCAGTAAACGCCTCATGTCTAGAGCATTCATTTTACTACTGGGCATCTAAACACATAGTTGTTTAGAAAACAGATCTTTCATATAGCTATAATGCTATGATACTTTGATAATTATGGTATATTCGTGATCACGGAGGCAGTCAAAAAAAGGTAATACCCTAAATAAATTGCTTTGCTAAACAACTCTCCTACTGAAAAGTACTCACCATCGCAACTCCATTGTCAAGGGAAATCCAGAAGATCAAATATGGCTGGTTATTTGTCAATACCATTAGCTTCTGTCTGCATTCATCCTAACCTAGTGATGAACATACCTATGCTATTGTAAATTGGTTCACAAATTAGAATAACCAAGTCAAGTACAGGCCCTTCAGGTCATAAATGTCACCAACAAATTAATGTTGAAGTGTTTTAAATCACCTACCAAACAGCTATGAGCCTCTTTGTTCCAGTTAGGCTGCCTCTGATCTGTGCAAGAAAAAGACAAGAAAGGAGGCGGTGAGACTTCTCTCTGGACTCGACTGCCCTGGAGGCAGGTCAACCCCCACAAAGAGGCAACAGAATAGAAACTTTGTTACCATCGTAATTCCTACCCAGTGGCTCTCCTGCAGAACAAGACAGAAAGTTCTATCTCATAGAAAAGAAGGCCTGGGTAGTAAACCAGCAGGAAATCATTGAACTGAGATCCCCAGAAATTAAACGGTTTCTAAAACATAAAGTGAAAATAATATTGTAATCCTTTTAAACAGTCATCAAGATACATTTTTGGGCTGCTTTTAAATACAGGCACACCTTGCATGATTGTGCTTCCCTTTATTGAGCTGCACAGATACTTTTTTTTTTAACAAATTGAATGTTTGTGGAAACCCTGGGCAGAGCATGTCTATTTGGTGTCCTTTTTCCAAAGGGCTTGGATGATGATGAACATTTTTTAGCAATAAAGTACTGTTTAATTAAAGTAGGCATGGTGTTGTTTTATATGATGCTATCGCTCACTTAATACACTACAGTATAATGTGGACATAACTTTTATATTCACTGGGAAACCAAGAGATTCATCAGACTCGCTTTATTGAGATATCCACTTTATTACGGTGGTTTGGAACCGAACCAGCAATGTCCCTGAGGCATGCCAGTGCCTTGCACGACACGCACACGGGTTTAGGACTTCCATCTGTGTTCCTGGAATTTCGCCATGGGAAAATGTTGCATGTTAGTCATAATAATTGCACTTACTGACTAAACCATATGTTTTTTAAAAAATACAGGTTTTAAAAAACTTTATTTTTAAAAGCATCTTTAAGGCTTACAGTAAAATGGAGAGCAAGATGCAGATTTATCCCATGCGCCCCTCCCCCACACACATGCAGAGCCTCCCTCATTATCAACATTGTTCACCAGAAGGGCGCATTTTTGCCAAGGATGAACCTACACTGACACAGAAGAATTACCTGAAGTCCGTAGGATGTTCAGTGATACCACGTTGTGTGTGTGTGTGTGTGTGTGTGTGTGTGTGTGTGTGTGTTTAGCTCCAAGCATATATTTTATACTTTTTATTTTATTTTAATAGTTGTTCAAGTACAGTTTTCAGTCCTTTGCTCCCATCCCAGCCCACCCACCCATTCTTTCCCACCTCCCTCCCATTTCCACCCCCTCCCTAGTTTTTGTCCATGTGTCCTTTATATTTGTTCCTGTAAACCCTTCCCATAAACCCCTCCCATTCTCCCCTGAAATTCCCTCCCCTCTCCCCTCTGGTCACTGTCAGCCTGTTCTCTATTTCAGTGTCTTTGGCTATATTTTGCTTGTTTGTTTGTTTGTTTGTTACCACGTTTTTGTTTGAATTTGCATTTCCCTGGTGGCATACAATGTAGAGCATCTTTTCATTTGTGATTTGCCTGTGTATATCTTCTTTGGTGACATGTTTGTTAAGGTATTTGGCCCATATTTTAATTGGATTGTTTTTCTTATTGTTGATTATTAAGAGTTCTTTGTATGCATGTATTTAGGGTAACAGTCTTTTAGCAGATATGTCTTTTGCAAATATTTTCTCCCAATCTGCAGCCTGTCTTCCAATTGTCTTTATATTATTTTTCACAGAGCAGAAGTTTTTAATCTTAATGAAGTCTACCTTATCGTTTATATCTCTCTTAGATTGTATCTTTGGTGTTGTATCTAAAAAAGTATCACAATCCTCTTGGTTTTCTCCTGCATTACCTTCTAGGAATTTTCTAGTGTTGTGTTTTACATTTAGGTCTATGATCTATTTTCAGTTAATTTTTTGAACAGTGTAATAAGTATGTGTCCAGATTTATTTTTTATGTGGATGGCCAGTTGTTCCAGCATCACTTGTTGAAGAGACTATTTTTGCTCCATGGTATGGTCTTTGCTTCTCTACCAAAGATCAATTCATTATATTTATGGGGGTTTATTTCTGGGCTCCATTCTGTTCCATTGAATGATTTGTCTATTCTTTTGCCAATACACCATGGATTGATGACTGGGGCTTCCCAGTAAGACTTGAAGTTGGGTAGCACACGGCCTCTGACATTGTTCTTCCACTATGACATTGTGTTGCCTATTCTGCATCTTGTATCTTGCATCTGCACCTGCATAAGGTTATAAACCTTATAACCAGTTGGTCAATATGCATAAAGTAAATTGCTCAATTTTAACTGTGATTATATTCAATGTATAGGTCAAGTTGGGAAGAACTGACATTTTGACAGTTACTGTGTCTTTCTCTCCATAAACATAAACTATCCATTTATTTAGTTCTTTTTTTATTTTACTCATCAGAGTTCTGTAGTTTTTCTCATTGAGATGTTGTATATGTTTTGTTAGATTTATACCTATTTCATTTTGGGGGTATCATGTAAATAATATTGTGTTTTTAATTTCAAGTTCTGTGAACAACAATTAAAATTAAAAAATAAAAATGCAAAATAATAATAATAATTTCAAGTTCTGTTTATTGCTGATATATAGGAAATTAATCGATTTTTGTACATTAATTTTGTATCCTACAATCTTGCTATAATTGTTTATTAGTTTCAAGGGTTTTTTTGTTGTTGATATTTTGGATTTTCTGCATAGATGACTTTGTCATCTTCAGACAAAGACAGTTTTGTGTCTTCCTTCCCAATCTATATACCTTACATTTTCTTTTCTTGCCTTAATGCATTACCTAGAACTTCTAGTATAATGTTGAAAAGGAGTGGTGAAGAGACATCCTTGCCTGTACCTGATCTTAGTGGGGAAGTTTCAAGTTTTTATCATTCATTATGATATTAACTATAGGTTTTGTGTAGATTGTGTTTATCAGTTTGAGAAAGTTCCCCTTTTTTCATAATTTACTGAGAGTTTTTATCATGAACGGATGTTGGTTTTGTCAAATATTTGCTCTGTATCTGTTGATATAATCGTGATTTTTCTTTTGTAGTCTGTTGGTATGATGGATTACATTAATTTATTTTCAAATGCTGAATCAGCCATGTTCAGACTAAGATAAATCTCGCTTGGTCACGGTGCATAGTTTTTTAACATTGTTTTGGATTTAATTTGCTAATATTTTGTTGAGGAGTTTTGTATCTATGTTCATGAGAGATGTAGGTCTTTAGTTTTATTTTTTTGTAATGCGTCTAACTGGTTTTGATATTAGGGTGACACTGGTCTCATTCCACTAGAAGAGATTTTAGAAGATTAGTGTCATTTCCCCCTTAACTCTTTGGTGGACTTTACCATTGAACTCACATGGGCCTGATTCTTTCTGTTTTAAAAGGTTATTAATTATTGATTCCATTTCTTTAGTAGATAGAGACCTATTTGAAACCTATATATTTATATCTAACAATATAATGAGGCAATTGAAAATCATGATCTGTAAAGGATATTTTTCAAGACGATCTGTTTATTTAATAACGCAATTTTTTGAGTAGTGGCTTTTATAACTCTTAAATTTTTCTCCAACTTTTTATTTTAAAAATGTTCAAAACTATAGAAGAGTTTCAGGAATAGTTAACAACAAATGCCTGAATAGCCATCAGCTAGATTCCCAAATTTTTATCATTTTGTCACATTTGCTTTATGTCTCTGTCTGTGTATGTATATATTTTGCCAAATAATTTGAGAACTACCTGTAACATAAGATGTTTCACCCCTAAATACTTCAGTGTGTACCTCTTAAGAACAGACACCCTACCATAATTACACACTGATCACAACTGGGAAATTTTAAATGGTGCAATACAATGATCTAACATGCAGTTCAAATTTCCCCAGTGGTCTCAGTAAAGTCCTTTCAGTCTGGGAGATTTATATTTTATTTGAAATCCTGGATTCAATGAAGGATCATTATTATGTACAGGGTGGGGCAAAAGTGGTTTTACAGTTGTTTGTATGGAAAATAATACAATAATAAGTAATAATTCAAGAAAAAAAACTCTACTTTGCATACCAACAACTGTAAACCTACTTTGCCCCACCCTAAATACTAGCATGTGTATATAGTTCCTTTTGTCTTTGAGGACTGACATTTTTGTAGCGTCAAGGCCAGTTGCTTTGCATAATGTTCCTCAAACTGGACATTTGTGTAATTGTTCCCTCACAATTAGACTAGGTTAAACAATTTTTGTCAGAGATACACAATGTGAAATTGGAATGCTTCCCTTCCTTTTATATATTAGTAAAAGCACAAAACAGATGAAATTAACATTTTCTTTCAGTTCCTCAATAACACTTAGTGATTGTCTCCTATAAAGTAAATTTAGTGTTACAATGTACAATTTGTAAAATGCTTTGACATGGATTAATTTATTCAATTTGTACAACCCCATGAGGTACATATTTTTAGTCATTTTCCACCTTTTCTTTTTTAGTGGAAACTTATCCAAGTTTATATAATCAGTAAGACTACTTCTATAGCCAAAATTTAAGTATAGAAATGCTGTAAATATTATAGAGTAAGAAGCCCTCTATTTTCATGTCAAATAAATCTTGACATTTTTTATGTTCTACAAGCTGCACTCCATATTGCCCAAAGTTTGTGCCTTCCAGTTCTAGTCTCCCTCCGTTAAATTACAAGACAATGTGATATCACCCTGTATTTAAACATTTTTCAACCGTAACGATTTGAAATTATGACAGTCAAACCAGAAACAATGTAAAAGTAGATGAATGTTAGCTATGTTGAATGCCAAGTCATTGGTCTTTGTTCATGGCAATCTCTTTGCATTTGGTGTCCCTAGCAACACACCAGCTCCTCCTTCCTTCCCAGGTGAGAGTCTACGTCCCTTCCTTCCACTTTCCAAAGCAGTGAAAACAGCATGGTTTCATGATGCAGTAATCAGCATTTGTATGAGGATTTCTCAGTATATTAAATGACTTAGTTTTACCTTTTTTTTTCCTTACCCCCAGACCTCACAGTCTCAGTAATGTTTAGCTTAGGGTCAAGAAAAGTTTGAGTATTGGTA